GTGGCACTGTGATACAGCCTGGTTTGTTGGATCGTTTTTCTTCTTTCACTACAGTCGATCTGCTCCAGAGTTCGTTTCAGTCGAGCCGAGACCACCTCATTCAGGCAATGTCAGGCGGATGATTTGGTGCGAATCCGAGCGTTCACATACTCCAGATGAACTGGGCAAACGAGACCAGTTCTGAAACCAATGTCAGTGTGTGAAAACACCACAAGACTGTATTTGCAATAGGGGTGTCACGATTTCATGAAATCGTTCGAAATTTATGCTCAATTTCGATTATCGAAAAAATAGAATCGTCAATTCAGCCACGCCCCCATGTCACGTCAGCTTGGCTTGCCAAGCGGGAAAAAAACAGGCTTGTTGAAGTGCTTGTTAAACTGCAGAAGCAGGAGACCCGTCGACAGAGCTTAAACCCTCTCCTCTTTCAATGAAGTCGCCGGTGTGTGAGCATTTTGGATTTCCAGTGAGTTATGTTGACAACGTTCGTGTCATCGACAAAAAAACCCCCAGTTTTGCAAGCTCTGCTATGTACGTATTACGTACGGTTCGTCCGATAGACAACACCGGCATCGTGATCCTCTGCCCGCCCCCGTTGCAAATCCGCTGGTGAAAAGTTCACACTCAGGCCCTGTTTACACTGTCTTTGTTTTTAAATGGCATTTTAGAACGACAACGATTTGACATCCACAGTGGCGTGTAGCATTTCTGAGCAGCCCTCCTTCCTCTCTACCTCTGAAAATGCACATCACGTGACCACACACACACACACACACACACACACACACACACACAGCCATGCGCTCGAGACAGCAGGTCCAGGCAGTCAGAGGACTGCTTCAATCTTTCACTCACTTGTACTCAGTCATTTTAGCGAACACCTCAGATACTGTTGGCTGGTTCCTGTTGGTTGTGCGTCTTTTTTACCGACGCCATTATAACGACACAGATCACTGCCTATTCACGAGTCCCGCAGAAAAAGTGATTGACAGGTGGAATTATGTGTGTATCTTGCCTTTATTCATTTACTGTATGATTTGTTTATGGGTAAAACAAAGACCATGCAGGTCAGGTAGTTTAAACGGTAGACTACAAATCATTAATTGGTCATTAATTAATTAATTAATTATTCATAATCGAGAATCGAATCGTGCCTTTAGAATCAAAAATGTAATCAAATCGAGGATTTGGAGGATCGTGACACCCTTAATTTGCAAGCAATTGACAACAGTCGCAGCCAAAATAATCTTTAGTGACAAGGCAGCGCTGGCCTGATCAGGCCACTAATGATCCTGTTTACTGCTCCGAGCATCTCGCACGCAGGCCCAGGCCATCCGGTCGTCTTTATTGGTTGAGCCCTGGTGCATGTCTTTTCAATGGTATTAAAATGGACAATACCACATTAAACTTCCAGTAACAATGAACTATGCTTCTTAATCTGTTTATTTCATCTAATAAATATTGTGCTTGTGGTTATTTAGTGCATATAAACATATACAAGTACGTTAACAGACATTAAAAATGAACAATACATTTGTTCCAGTATTTATAAAAGTCAAATAAATTAACGTGATCTAATGGGGTTTTATTTCCACAGTGTTTCCTTCAAATGTTCATAAATAACCTGAGTTGATGCTACTTATCTGCCATGTCTTAGGATGTATTGGTTAAATAACTCTAAAGGTTGCCGAAGAAGAAAGATTTGCAACAAATAAATATTGAATCTAAATGATCTGCATTTGGTATTGACCTAATTTAATTCTGAACTCAAGATAATCACGCTTCTGTTCAGCATAACATCTGCATGTCTTGAGTTGTAATGCTAATTAAAGTGCTGATAAATCAGAGCAATGCCTTATTAAAGCATAAGTTGCATTATGAGGGAATGGCTTGCCATGAACGCAAATAAAAATAATACAATGGATCTTGTGTGTTAGTTTAGTGTAACATGGTTACACACACACACACACACACACACACACACACACACAGTTCTGCTGGTGCTGTTTAAAACGGTCAATAAAAGCAGCGGTCCAAGATATTTTTAACTGTGTGAATGAGTGCTGGACCAGGACCACCCCGAACCCTCCTGTTTACTGACCACACAAACACACACACACACGAACACACAGGACAACAACAATAACAACACACACAGACAGGACAACAACAATTACAAACAACACACTGACATATATGCACAAGCTTGCATACACACATTTATACATGTGTACACACACATTTACACACACACATAACGACACTCACATACACACAAACACATGTACAGTACACACAGGACAACAATAACACATGTACACATTTACATATAAACACACACACACAACAAACACATACATGCGAATATGTATACATGTACATACATACACATGCATACAAACAAACATACACGTATTAAAACACGTATCCATACATGCGCACACACACAAACACATATGCATTTATACAAACTTGCATATAAACACATACAGTATACACATACAAACACACACACTGGACATTGGAGGACCAACATACAGCATATTGTGTGTGTGTGTGTGTGTGTGTGTGTGTGTGTGTGTGTGTGTGTGTGTGCTGTATTTCACAGCCTCCTGACTGTAATAGTGAGAAATAGTTGATTGTTTTCTGTAATTATTATTAGTACAGGCTGGTGTGTGTGTGTGTGTGTGTGCAGATGGTCAGGAGACTGGACGTCAACACACACACACTCAAAATAGACCCTGCCGAACACCTCACGATCAGGGAATGCTGCTAAACTCAGTGACAAAATGCTGCAGATGTGTTTATTTTTGTACATGGAGGATGAGTTACTCTCATTGGGTCATTGTAAAGTAAAGTGGCAAGTGCTTATAATGTATGCTTTTATTTGTAAAGGTTGTCCAATTATGCAAATGTAAAGCTTTATCTCATTAACAATGCACACATCTACATACATTTCCATCATACAATTCTGAACATTTAGATGAAGCCATGGTCAAAATGCAGGATTGATCTTGTTGATCTTACAGGGGAAAAGAAACTGGTGAGGATGTTTAGTCACAATCGGCTTTCATTAGGTAACTCTACTTACTAACATGAAATAATTTACAAAGCTCTTTCAACATTTACTAATGCATTATTAACATTCAAATTTATGCTTATTAACATGGTTATAGAGCACCTATTATGCAATGATCACCTTTATAAGGGGTTTAACCAGGCCCGGATTGGCTGATCAGGAGGACCGGGAGAATTCCTGGTGGGCCGGTCTGTTTTTTTGGCCGTGAGGGCCGGCGTCCCTAGCTGCTTGCACTCTCAGCAGTCACACTTTTTTCATCTATTTATTTATTTGACCATAGCTGCACCCTTTTTTTCATTATTTTGCCGCAGCGCTGCTCTTTTTATTAATTTTCTCGCAGCCCCGTGAGCAAAATGCAGCCTGCAGGTTAACTTAACGTTAATGATGATGTAACTATCATGATTCGACCCCAAACAGCGGCACCTTAGTGAATATAAGAATTCAAATCATTAATATTAATGAATAATACACCGCTCAATGAAAATCAGATGATTCACTACATTCATAAATCTAATGTAACTTGATCCTATATCTGAAAAGGGGAGTAAAAGATTAAGTCAACACTCACGGGTCACAGATCAATATTTATGTTTTATTCGCACTGTAATAGCGCCATTGTGGACTAGTGGTAAGCACATTGCGTTTCAACGCCGCCGACTCGTGTTCGAATCACACTTATTATAATAAAATTATTATGACTTTTTTTTTCCCCCTTTTTATTGTTAAAACATATAACACTGTTAGGGCTGTTGAACATTTTAATTTCTAAATCAGCTGTTTTCTTGAAAAAGACGCAGTGGTGTCATTAGAAACTGAATTGGAATCAGTCGTGAACTGAGGTGTGCCGGTCTGGCTTGAAACTCCAGGGCTGAAAATGAGTGCCACTCCGGCCCTGGGTTTAACCCCAGTTGTGTGTCAGCAGTGTGTGAATATCCCCAGCAGACTCCGATGGTCAACAGGAATTAATTGTAATCGTTATAATCAGACTTGATATAATCAGTCTGCAGAAACACTGTGATTGACATTCTCCCTTTGTGTAGGTGTTATCAGAGGGGGGAAAGCCCCGCCCACTAGTAGCCATCTCTCCATCTCATTAGCATAAACAGCAGCCCTGAGTGGGAAGCAGCCGTCTGTTCATTAGCCATTAGAGTGTTTGAGCTGCTGAAGATAATGTCAGCATAGACTCAGAGGATTATAGATTTGAAGTTTTAGATGTCTTTTATTTCTTTTTTTATAGAAGATATTTTGAAGAATGTTGGAAACCTGTAGTCATTGACTTTTATAGTATTTGTTTCTTCCTACTATGGAAGTCAATGGTTACAGGTTTTCAACTTTATTATTATAAGAGGAGTGCAAATATTTTAGGGGCTTTTACTGTCTTTAAAAAAAAAACTTTAAAGAAGATACTTTAAAATATGTTTGGAAACCTGTAACTATTGTCTTTTATAGGGTTTTTCTTACTATGGATGTCAATGGTTACCAGTTTTCTACTTTCTTATTGCTCAGTGGAGAGTGAATCTTTGAGGAGGGGGGGGGTTCTGTCTTATTTATTTTTAAAAGAAATTATTTTGAAGAATGTTTAAAACTGCTCACCATAAGTTCAATGAACTTTCTTATTTTAAGAGGAGTGCAAATCTTTGAGGGTGTTTTTCTGACAAAGATGTTTTTAAAAATGTTGTAAACCTGTAACTACTGACTTAGTGTTTGTTTTTCCTTCTATAGAAGTCAATGGATACAGGTTTCCAACATTCTTCAGAATATCCTCTTTTGTGTTTAACAGAAGAAAGAAACAGGTTTGGAAACACTTGATGGAGAGTAATAGGCGAGTCAATTTTAAAAGGAAAAATCCTAAATGCCTCAGAAGCGTTTCTTCCCGCACAGCAGCTGTTTTTCAGAGGAGGACGGATCTTTGAGGGGGGTTTTCTGTCTTTGAGCTCCTCCTCATATGCAGGCTTGAGTTTCACAATCCCTTTTCTCTGCTCAGAGTCTCTGCGGACACTGAAGCTCCTCCAGGATCCTCATGGACTTTATTCATCACAGCACAGCTTCACCTGGAGATTAGTTTCATTTCCTCTGACTGCTGCTTTTCTCAAGTGTGAACTTCAGAGGATGCTGTGTGTGATTCTGCTGGATCTTGTGTGAAGATGAAACGAAATGAAGGTTTGGATTCACAAGAGCTTTAAGGTGAGTTCGCACATTCATTACTTTAAATGGTCAGTAAAGTTTTCTTTTGGTTTTTGTACTTGTAGAGTTCTTCTATTGATTATGAAATTGTTTATTGAGTTAGAAATATGCTTAACGTGAAGGGGATTCAGTCATAGAAGACTAAATGCTGTTTAAAATAATTATGCTTTAATTATATTGGCAACCTCCCGACCCTCTTTTTGTATGTGTTTTGGTTTGATCTGCTCAGTTTATATGAGGTTATTTATTGTATTTATTTTGTATTGTATTGTTCTTATGTTAATGCTCTGTGTGTGATATTCATCTGCATTATTTGCAAATAAGAAAATCAATAAGTTCAAATTAAAAAATAGTTATTCTATATGGTTTATATTATATTTATATTCATTTGGTGATGATGACCCGCTCATGAGTGTAAAGCGCTTTGGGTTTATGGCCATATAAATGCAGATTATATCACGTTGCACGATTATAATATGTTTTTATGTGATTTTTATTATGTCTTTGTTATTGTTTGTAATTGTAAACCTTGAGTGTCATGGATATCACTATAAAATAAGGGAAGGAATAATATAATGTGCTGTTTTATTGGTTTTGTAGTTGTAGAAATGTTTTTGATCTGTTATTAATTATGAAATTGTTTACTAAACTAGAAATATTCTTGAATGATATTTGAAGCTGAATTTACTGATAAGCCACAGATGCATAGCATGTGGGGGATCCAAAGTATTAAACTAATTCTGCACACTTGTGTTGGTGAGGAAAGACCCCTTCATATGATTTTAAAGTGTTTTGGGCTATATAAATGTGCAATATAAATGGACATGACATAATTATGATTCATTTTTTTATGTCTTTGTTATTGGTTGCAACTTGCAACACCAAGTTCATGGGTTCGATTCCCAGGTTGATTAATGACTGGTCAAATGTAAATCTTGAATGTCATGGATATAGCTTTAAAAATAAGGTAAGGGATGATTAATGTACATCACAGAATGACCAGCAGCTGTTGTGTAAGACTGAAGGGTTTATTATGCAATAACCACCGGCTGGATGTACAGTATGCTAATTATTATACAGCTGCTGGCCACAATGTTAACCCTTGTGTACTGTTCAAATTTTGTTATGTTATTGTCTGTTTTTGCCCCATTGACTTCCATTATAAGCACATTTATTGACTGCAAACCCATGACAGCAGATAATCATGCATTCTTCATTGGTGCTGGTTTCCTGTAGGGAAGAGGGACAAGTTGTCGTTTTTACTGTTGATAGATATCCTTAAAACGAACAGATTAAAACGAACATCTAAGATTTTTTATTTTAATTTTATTAGACCTTTAGTGTGGTCGGTGTTTGCCTGTCCACAGTGTCATCTGTATATTTAAATTGCACCTTAATTTTCTCTGTATTCTGATTGGCTGTCAGTGTTTTATCCTTCATCAGCTGGGAAAAATCCTTCTGTGTCGATCTCATTCCTCTCTATCTTTGTTGCTGTAGTTGTGCTAGTCGTTAACACGGTCAACTATTTTATTGTAAGATTTATCGTTGTGTTTATCGTTATCATGCTTGGTGTGAACAGGCCTTAAAGTCTGCATGAACTGGAAGCTGCGACAATTTTTTTGTCCATGTTGTGATGCAGTTCCTAGACAAACTGGCGTTACGTACAACCAAAAAACACTGTTATAGTGCCACCAGTGGCCATTCTGTGAACTGCAAAAAAATCTGCATTAAAGAGCCATGACACCCCTCACTTTCGGTTAAAGTCTACTTCAGAATTTTTTCAAAAGATGCATGAATAATGGGCGGAGCTCCGCGAGCATCGGGCAGGAGTGGGCGTGGCCAGCAGGGGAGCGAACAACTGTTGTTGTCAGTTAGCTCACAAAATGAGACACACAGAGGAGACGCATGAGTTTATAGTTTTCAAAGTTAAAATGCAAAGAAATGAACAGTGATTTAATGCCCTGCTACATTTGTTATTCGTAATTTCATACACACACAACCACAATTTATATCATTATAAAGATAAGTGTGTTCATGTAAACACTATAAATGAGGACTTCTCCCTCAATCCCCGTATCCAGCAGACTCAGTGCAGCAGGTCTCCTGACCTGTCTATTTTAACCATTAACCCTGCTGGTAATCTGGAGGATTTAGGCAAACACAGCAGCACGGCGATGTGTCTGAATGTGAACGAACTCCTGATAAAAGACAGCGTCCACCATTCTCTAATTCTCGTGCTGCTCTCCTGACAAAAATGCTAGCAGCACACACACAGCTTTGCTGTATGATCGGCCCTGACAAGATTGCGGGGGAAAACATGCAACAAACCCCGTGGATCATGGAAACAAACACATACGAGCCTTCATGAACGGCTAAATACTGTGTGCCGTGTCTCACAGCTCGGGCTTGACTCTGGCAGGACTCATGAATAATTAAGCAGCCAGCTCTTCTCATAGGATAAGAAAGCTCTGCTATGAATGAGAAACCGACGCGTCATCATTGCATTTGCAGTTCTGCGCTACGTCACCGATTTTGATCCGCCCCAAAAATCATTTTAAACCCGGAAGCTGAAATCAGCTGACAAAAGCTCAACATTATCCAGTTTTCCCCACAATTACAGCTGACAGGTGCTAACATTGTCTTAACTGATGCTCAACACACACACATCTGTTAATATAAAAAAAAGTTCTCCAGTGTGTCCTGAACCTTTAATCAGAAGATTTGATATTTTTTATCGTATTGTGACGCAGTTCTTGGAGAAACGGAATATTAAATGAGTAAACAGTGGGTGTGGCTTGTTTTCTACTGCGAGCTTATTGGATGTAGTAAAGTAGGTTTTATTCAGAAAGATGTGGAAAAGGGTTTGGGCGGAGTTATTACAACTTAGCCCCGCCCAATACCGCAGACAGACGCAATCTGAATATTTAACTGAAAACAATCAGGAAGTACATTTTCTGATTTTAATTAAAGATCACAAGGGCAAACCTTTTTATTTTCTTCTTAATGACATGCACTGATGAATTCACCACAGACCTAGCAATGTAAGATAACAAAATCAGTATGGTGGGATTTGATTTCATGTGTGCTTTAAATGTGTGTTTGTGTGTCAGTGATCGGGCCGGTGTGTGTTCTCTGCTCATCATGGGCTCTTCATGGCTCTTCCTGCTGGTTCTGCTGGTCAGTTTTGGGCTCTGCAGTGGTGTGTGCCCTCGTCAGTGCGCATGTTCTGCTCCTGCTGAAGTTCACTGCACTTTCCGCGCGCTGCTCGCCGTTCCTGCTGGCATCTCCAAACAGGTCCAGCGCATCAACTTTGGGTGAGCACTGCTAATTGTGTATGCTAATGCATGCAGTTTACAGGATATTAAAGTTAATAAAGTATTTCATATTTAGATGTTTTTTTTTAAGTGAGCATTTATGTGTGTTTATGTCTGTATTATATCATCTTTGCATCAAAAAAACAAACAACTAAATGAATGCTTAAGTCTATTTAACACCGATGCTGTAAAAACAACCTTGTGAAATTGAAAATAATCACAATAAGCTTTCACCGGAAGTTTATCGATGGCTTTAAAGCTCTTCCTGTGCACAGAGCCCATTGTCAGACACACAGCTAAAGTAGTTCTGGCAGGTTTTGAGCGCATTACAGCTCCATATCACTGCGCTGAATGATTAGTTATTTCACAACTACAACAGTCACAACAGGAGGAGGAGATGTGGAGGACACTAGTGCTGCACACAGGAAACGTTTGAGGAGGACAAACAAACTCTCAAATACATTATCTCAACTGCAACACAATCTCACAGCAATTCGTAACTTTTTCATTTAGTGGCTAATTCGTATGAATTCGTACGATCTAATTCGTACAATTTAGTACGATTTGCTCATCCCCCAATGACGGTTGGGGTTTGGGGTGGGGTTAGGTGCCACGCCTCCTTTTTAAAATCGTACCATTTCGTACGACTGAACTCGTACGAATTCATACGAATTAGCCACTGAACTGGCAAAACGTAAAATACTTACGTTTTCTCGTGAGATCAGGCTGCTCAACTGTGAATTCAGCTCTGATGATCATAGCAGTATAATGACCTACGGGGTGGGGAGATATTAGAGAATAACGCACAGCTGAGGTATAACAGACACTCCTTCACACTTAAATCAACTGGTATTGCTGGGTAGAATACATAGTAAATGAATTGAGATGCATGTTTAAATCGTCATTATAGAGCAAACAGGATTCGTAACTTTAGAATGAGATATAGTCCTTGTGAAACCGAGCCCCGGTCATCCATATCATTAAATAATACCTGAACTGAAGCATTTATTTTACTTATGTTTAGCAAAACATCACTTATACAGTACAATATTTTTGGTTATTTACATTTATTCATTTAGCAGATGCTTTTGTCCAACGTGACTTACAAATGAGTTTATAATATAGACCTTTTTCATGGCTGCTGCATGGAGGGCGCCATAGCGACCAGCGTCTTCCGGTAGAATGCCAAAAACTTCCGTGTACAGCGTGTACAACGTGTAATTTGCGCTCCGAAAATGGGTTTCAATAACGTTTTTAATGGATAACAGAGTGTTTTTGTGACACACAACTTAGAAATGTGTCTGTTAAAGCCGTTATAATCTGTCACATGTGGTTCAAGCGCGTCAGAAATACGAGAAAAACGTTCTCCTAGTTCACGTGTCTGCCGTCAGAAATACAGTGTGTGAGTGCGTTCCCGGTCTGTCAGCTGTTAGCTCAGCGGCTCTTTAACACACACACACACACACACACACACACACACAGAGAGAGAGAGAGCGCAAACCAGAGTTCTGGCATGAAACTTAGCAGGTATGAAAGTCGTGCAATTTGCAAAAATGAGCAATAAAAGTCTGTTATTGATCCTCTGCTGCTGATCTGCTGTTCATTCTAATCGTGAGCCGTTTGTGTTTTATTTCGTGTGTTGTTTTCACCACGGTTTGTGTTTTTCTGTCATTTGGAAATGACACTCGCCTGTATTTTCACTTTGTCACAGTTATTAAATCAGTGTGTCAGTGGGACAGTACAGGCTATGTGTGTGTGTTAAACGTTTTGGTGAACTACATGTGTTTGGGCTGGTTATATATGTGAAATAAAGAGAAAATGTTGACTTTAGCGATGACGAGGCTTCATTTAAACTGCAGAAGATGCCGTCTGACAACGAGGGGAAAACGCCTCACAGCAGCTGTTTTCCATCCTTTTAGATCACATTTCTGTAAATGATCAGTCCAGGAGATGCTGCTGATGGACAACAGTATTAGATAAAGAGGATAAAAGCAGGTAAAATAGATTAAAACTATCGTTTCAAAGCTGTCCAAATGTGACTGTTTACACGCATCAGCTGCCGACCGGAAGTCCTTCACATTCTCCTTGTGCATACACGCAAAGCATCATGGGTAATTTTGCGTTCCAAGAAAAAGGTCTATAGCATAGGGATAAATACTGTAATGCATGCTTGAAGGGAGACATCACCCCAAAATTAAAATGCTGTCAGTATTTACTCACCATTCACTTGTTCTAGATCTGAGTTTTTTAAACTTTAAAAAACAAACACAAGATGAGCATTTTAAACTTTAACAAGTTTCTTTCTTATATTAAAAACAAAAGAAGATATATATTTTTAAAGTAAGCCATGAGGTAATTAATTTTAATGTGAACTATCCCTTTAAATCAGGGGTTCTCAATTCCGGTCTCAAATCCCCCCACCCCCCACTCCGCCCTGCACATTTTGTATGTCTTCCTTACTTAAAACCCCTGATTCAGATCATCAGCTCCTTATAAGAGAGAGATCAATGAACTGATCCTTGTAGGTCAGATAAGAGAGGGTGCCTGAGTACCAGAATTGAGTACCACTGCTTTAAATGTACACATTCATTGAAAGTATTGTTGTTGATCATGTGTTTGTATTGTACATGTTGATCATGTAAAAGTATTGTTGGTGATCATGTGTTTGTTCATGAACAGATTTAACACCATCAGTCAGATCACAGACGCCTCTTTCAGTGGCCTTCGAAAGCTGGAGCTGCTGATGATGCACGGGAACAACGTGCAGAAGATACCAGACGGTGCTTTTCAGGATCTGGTTTCATTACAGGTAAAATCACCTGCTGATGCTCACAAGTGCTAGTTTACTGTGAGTCCTCAACAAGAGTGTAAAGGTGACATTTAAAGGGTTGGTTCACTCAAAAATGAAAAATTACTTAAATTTACTCACTCTTAAAGGAGACCTATTATGCAGGAATCACATTTATGGGGGGTTTAACCCCAGTTGTGAGGCAGCAGTGTGTGAATATCTCCACACTCTGATGGTAAACATGAATAAATTGTATTTGTTCTAATCAGACTTGATATAAAGAGTCTGCAGAAACACTGTGATTGACATTCTCCCTTTGTACGTGTCACCAGAGGGGGAAAGCCCCGCCCACTAGTGCCCATCTCTTCCTCATTAGCATAAACAGCAGCCCTGAGTGAGAAGCAGCCGTCTGTCCATTAGCCATTAGAGTGTTTGTGCTGCTGAAGATAATGTCAGCATAGACTTTTGTTATTCAAGAGGATAAATAACAGTAAAAATTACAAGTAAAGCTGTGGTCAAACTAGAGTTTGTGTACCAAATTCTGTCGTATGGCGCTGCTAAAAAGGGGCGGGATTAAACAAGATTATTAGACATTAAAGAACCAATGTTATAAATGAAATAGGGTCATATTTTGGTTGTAAGGGTCTCCAACAACAGTCTAATATTCATGCAAGGTCAAAAAACACTTTCATGGTCTTATAATCTGCATTTATTTTTACCTAATTATCCCAGCGACTCCCGTATGAATCATCCAGTGATTCATCTGTTCCCAGACCCCTCCTTAGCATGAAGCTAATCTGCGCTGATTGGACCAATGACAGTCTGTTGAGATTGGTTGACACTGACTGCCTTCACCGAGAGACAGAGTGAAATGCCCAGCAGCTAATCAGCAATATACAAGTAGTCACAGTGCATACACGCTTCATAGTGTAAGGCGTGGAGTTTTGCTGCCAGTACATGATTGTAAATACAGACGATGGACTTGAAAATACAGACGACTGACTATTTTATTGAGCAAAAACTCCCAAGAACTGGCGAGGAGATCTCCTAGCTTGTCACACTGCTCTTTTCACACACACACACACACACACACACACACACACACACACACACACACACACACACACACACACATAACCCTCCTCCGGACGACAACGCGCACACACACACATAACCCTCCTCCGGACGACAACGCGCACACACACACATAACACTCCTCCGGACGACAACGCGCACACACACACATAACCCTCCTCCGGACGACAACGCGCACACACACACATAACACCTCCGGACGACAACGCGCACACACACACATAACCCTCCTCCGGACGACAACGCGCACACACACACATAACCCTCCTCCGGACGACAACGCGCACACACACACATAACCCTCCTCCGGACGATAACGCGCGCACACACACACATAACCCTCCTCCGGACGATAACACGCACACACACACATAACCCTCCTCCGGACGACAACGCGCACACACACACACATAACCCTCCTCCGGACGACAACGCGCACACACACACATAACCCTCCTCCGGACGACAACGCACACACACACACACACACACACACACACACACACTTACACACACATATACACATTACCCTACTTCACGGAACTTAAAGCAGCGCGCGTCGCGGTTTTTTTGCACGTGATATGAGAATATAGCGAGTTAACCTGATACAGCACACGCGGTTACAAGTAACAAATCACAACTAAATACATTTGCAAGCTCGAGTAAACGAGGCAACAACTTTAATCGCACGTACTTACACTTGAGAAATGGAGGAAGAAACTGATCCATGTCCTGACATGTCCATCATTACTCTTTACTGATCCTTCCTGTAACAAACGAAGTATTCGGTGTAGCATGTAGTTTCCGGAAGTTTCCAACTGCTCAAAGCTGGGCTTATGCTGAGGTTTCATCTTTGGGTAGAGACTCAGTAATATCTATCTACAGTGTGACTTCAATTGACCGGCAGCGCGTGTGTGTGTGTGTGTGTGTGTGTGTGTTTCTGTGTTAGATGGCGGGGCTGCAGGTTTTAAATCTCCCGGGTTTGCGCGTGAATAACTTTGTTGTCACGTCATGGCGAAACACCTAATGACTCGTTATCAAGACGACTTATTGGAAGCACTATGAATCGACTGTTTTAAACACTGTACACTTACAGATTTAATAATAATAATAATTTGTATTTATATAGTGCCTTTCCAGAGCTCAAGGACACTTTACAAGGAATGCAACAAAAAGATAAACATACATGAGGTCAAATACAACAAACTGGAATTACACAAACAAGACCTAAGAGACATATGAGCAGAGGGGGAGGTGGGTCAGATTAAGTGGTCAGTTTTGCAGATCAGAAGCGAAGCATTCAGAAAATAAGTGAGTCTTAAGTAAGGATTTGAATTCAGAGATGTTATTAGCAGAGCGGAGTGAGTGTGGTAGAGAGTTCCAGAGTTTGGGTGCAATAACACTAAATGATCTGCCCCCTATTGAAGAGAGCCGTTACCGAGGAACAGCGAGAAGGCCAGAGTCAGCAGACCGTAAAGAGCGAGTTGGGGTGTAGGGGACAAGCATGTTGCAGAGATAGGAGGGTGCTAGGCTATTTAAGGATCTAAACGCAAGGAGGAGAATTTAGAATTTAACGCGGTATGCAACCGGGAGCCAATGAAGATCATACAAGATTGGGGTTATGTGAGCCGAACGTTTGGCATGAGTGAGTATTCTAGCTGCAGAGTTTTGAATATACTGTAATCTGGAGATGAGGCTGGCAGGCAGACCAATGAAAAGAGCATTACAGTAGTCGATGCGTGAGGAGGCGAATGCATGGATGACAGTCTCAGCATCCTTGCTACTGACGAAGGGACGCAGTTGTGAAATGCGACGTAAATGAAAATGCAGATTTAGTGACAGATTTAATGTGAGACTGAAAAGAGAGTGTGGAGTCAAAGATTACACCTACATTTTTTACAGAAGTAGATGTTTTAAGCCTTAGCTGGATACTTCACTTCACTTAGAGCTGTGTTACCCACTACATGGAAGGCCTTTTTCAAAAACCCATCTTTAAAAAAGCGAGCGATTTGCTCCATGTTTTAAATTTCTGTCCAGAGAGGTCATGTTTTGATCCTCAGTTGGTCTCTCGTAGGCAAATGATGCATTTTTGCAGGTCAGAGTTCACAAAGTTGAACTTTGCACTGCAGCAAACTGCGAAACTTAATGCATGACCCTGCGTTTCCGGTCTGACGCGTATAAATGAAAGTCTATGGGAAGAAAAGTCAAGTGTGACCGCAGCTTTATACCTCTTCCTAACAGGGAAAACCAGCAACAATCAAGAACATATGATTATATGCTGCTGAGGCTTTGCAGGCAAAAATGTGATTATAATGGAAGTCAATGGGGCAAAAACAGCACCAACAGAACCGAAGGGGAGTCAATTTTAGTGTATTGAGCTTTTGAAAATTCTCAAAGCATTTTCCCAAAATATGTCAAAACAAGATGCGTCACCAAAAATCATCCCTGCTGAAACAGAGAGAAAGTTGTGGCTAAATTAAGACTCTAAATCAGCCCAGAATGGATAAAAATAACCCAATAGCACACAAGGGTTAACAACAACCTTATTGTAAAGTCTGACCATAATGACTCTTGTTTTCTCCTGTTTCTTTCTGCAGGTTTTAAAAATGAGCTACAATAAGCTGACAGTCATCACCGATCGCACCTTCTCTGGTCTGACGGGCATTATCAGACTCCATCTGGACCACAACCACATCTCCTCCATCCACCCGCAGGCATTCCTGGGCCTGACGTCTCTGCGTCTGCTGCACCTTGAGGCCAATCGTCTCCAGCAGCTTCATCCGCACACCTTCAGCACGTTCTCAGTGCTGCGGCGGTTCCCCGTGTCCACACTGAAGCACCTGCACATCTCTGATAACCTGCTGCAGACGCTGTCCCGGAGCGTGCTGGAGAACACACCTCAGCTGGAGACCCTACTGCTGACGGGGAACCCCTGGAGCTGTGACTGCCGCATGCGCTGGCTGCAGGACTGGAGCGCTCGACATCCAGGTCAGACATGATCATATTGTAATGGCGATCTACTTCTTCAAGTTCTTCACCGTTTCCATAGGGACTCGGCACAAAGGATTTGACGCGCAAAACCACAAACTTGCAATGCAACAGTTTACTTTTCGTTTGTCGAGAACAACAATAATCCAAATACAAACAAAAGAACTATGTACACTTTACCAAGCTTCCACATAAATATGGTTTTAGAACGGTCAAAAGACTGTCTACGATCAAGCCCCTTCCTCCTTTCTAATCCTTTTTTCCTGTTGCTTACGCATACATATGACGTATAACATTACTGAACACATAAAACATCATGCACATAATATAATATCACTAAATAAACATATTAAATACTGTATCAAATAGCAATAACTTTGTATCTTAATACAAATAATATAATATTATAGAAAAATATTACAAAAATTAAAAAGACAAATCTCTTAGTGCTCTTTATGGCTCTAACACGTATGCTGTCATGAGATTGCAGTCAATAAATTTGATTATAATGGAAGTCAATGGGTCAAAAACAGCACCAACATAACCAAAGGAGAGTCCATTTGCACAGAGTGTTTTGAGAATTTACCCAAAATGTGAGTCAAAACAGGATTGGTCACTAAAAATCATCCCATTTGCTGAAACAGAAAGTTGAGGCCTTATGAAGACTCAAAATCAGCCCAGAGTGGATGAAAACAGACCAACAGCACACAAGAGTTAAAATAAAATGCATAAAAATAAAAGTCTTCAAAATAAACTGCATTTATAACACTGAGTCTTCTGTATTGTTCTGTATTCCTAGGTGTGATGAAATGCAAGAAGGACAGGACATTTACCAGCGGTCAGCTTTGTCCACTCTGTGCGTCTCCTAAACACCTCAAAGCAGCGGACATGTTGGATCTGAAGCAGCTCGTCTGTTCTGGACCATCGATAATCTCTCCAGGAAGAAACATCTCTGAGGAGGACACCAGTGAACTCCTGCCCATCGACAGAATCAAGCCAGCTTTTGGGAACGTCTCCTTTACGCTCTCTGATGAACACGGCACTAAAGTAGACCTGATCTGCCAAATATTACAACCACAAGACTCCACCACAATCAGCTGGAATCACACGAAATCTCTGCAGATCGCGGCTAATGTGACGCTAGTGTTAGATGTGGAGTGTCCAGTGAGCAGAGACGACTATGAAAGCTTCTGGAGGCTGCTTGCGTATTACAGTGAAGCGCCTGTGCATCTTAGAAGAGAAATCATGCTCCGCAGAGAGCCGGCGTTGAGTTATCGATACAGGCAGGATGCTGAAAAAGACGGGTTTTTTTACACCTCGCTCAAAGCTAACGTTTTAGCCCATCCGTCTTGGCTCATGCAGTCTTTAATAAGCATCAAGCTAAACAGGCCGTATTCCACGTCCAAAAGCGTGAGGCTAATCCTGAGCACGCAGTTGACTGCAAACGCAGATGAGGAGAACGTCAGATCTTGGGTTATGATTGAAAACGATAATAAAACCCAGACCAGTTTTGCGAGTGTTGTCGGTGGCGTGGCTGAAATGCACTGTCGTGTTCAAAGCTCTGGAAATGCAGTGATTTACTGGATGCTTCCCAATGGGTCGAAGGTTAAATCTGCGTTTAGCTCTGTTGATGGTAGAGTTAGCATCTCTAGCAGTGGTAAACTTAACATTAAGACAATTGAGCACAGAGATTCTGGTGTTTATTACTGCATTGCTGAAGTTGACGGAGACGTTGATGTTCTGCCTTTTCGTTTATCAGTAATCGAGTCTTCAAATCCTCTTCCCAATCAAGAAGTTGGGAATTCTTTAAGCAGATTTATCGGTCAGTCTGCGTTTTTGACTTGTCTTACTAAGGCATCACCAGATGCTGAAATAAATTGGGTGCTCCCTGATGGAAATGTGCTGAACGCAAAAGCAAACACATCCAGAGCTTTGCTCTTCCCCAATGGGACTTTATACATTCCTGTTTGCCAGCTTAATGATAATGGATATTATAAGTGTGTGGCGATGAATAACCACGGTGTGGATGTGTTTTCCACCAAACTAACAGTCATAAGGCGGAAGTTAATCCAGCCGCTGAGACAGTATCCCATCATCAGGCCACAGTCGGCCGCAGGAGTCTCCACTAAAGTAAAAGCATTTCTGGAGGACATGGAAGAAGCTTCTGGAGATATTTCTGAAACTCGATTAACACCGACTCGAAGAAGGCGTCCAAATGCACGTAGGTTTGGGAACATTCGACATAGACGGCCCTTTAGGAACAGAGCTGGTTTACCAAACCAAAGACCAGTTAATACCAAAAATAAAATCGACCCTCAGAAATGGGCTGATCTTTTATCCAAAATCAGAGCGAAAACATCAGAAAGCAACAAAAGTCTACAGTCGGGATTAATCGACAACACTGAAAGCTCTTCAGGAGACTCTGGACCACAGGAGAAGACTTTCAACACGGATGTTTACCACACACCTCAAATTAAAGAACGTGATGATGATAACATTTACCGAACCACACCTTCACAATTACACACTACTAGATCAAACCAAGTGCTTTACATCTCACATCCCACATCTGCACCTCATTATGTTACGACACATGTACAAGACAGACACGCGAGCACTGTAAATGCTGAAAATAACCAAATATACTCCGAGTCTGTCATCAGTCCAGAGTTAGAGACAGAAAATGAGCTTAATTTGCCTGGCGTCAAGTCTCAGATCGGGGGTTTTGATTCTGGAGGGATCGACAGAAATGTGTTTGCAACAGCAAGCAGTGTTAGATTGAGTTCTGCACCAAATTCAACACAATCGAGAGGGAGGGATAGATGGAGATTTGGAGGTAGGCGACGGATAAAATTTCGAAGGCCAATCTCAAACCTTCCTACAAGCAGAGTATGGTCAACATCAACAACTGCAAGAGTAACTCTGAAAACAGATGACCAAGATGCATCAATCTATCCAACAACTCCATCCAAAGTTCCATCAGTCAGTCAGACTATTCCAGTTACATTGCATGTTTACTCTACTACCTTATCTAGAGGTATTCCAATCAATCCAACTCAATCGTCTCACATTTATCCTACAAAACACAACGAGTTAACAAATGAAGTTGAGGAGAATATTAATCACAAAGTGAAGGAAAGTAACTTCCAACAAACTCAGCAAGTGATGCCAAACTCGAGGTTTCACCCCACAATATCAACAAATGCATCTGCGGTTTTGAGGTTAGCAAATGAAGACTTTAATTCTTTAGAGAAAGAGGAGCAGGACGGTAGCTTTGCATCTGCAGAGGAGATGGATGAGTATATAGTTCCCACGAGAAAACATCCAACATCTCGACTTGGCGCTAAAACCGTCCCACTGACAACTCCTCGGCTGGAGTTCACAAGCAGGCTTTCTGCAGACATACCGAAGATGGATCCAACAGAGATCAGCGTTACTGTACACACAGACAGACTGGATGACTTCCACTTACCTGAATCACATTTTAGAGATGTTTTGAGAGAGAACAAATCTGTGGACTTTACTAGTGCAAGAGAGGGTGTTACTTCTACTGAAGAGTCTGTAGTCTCCTCCATACTACAATCTCAAACCTATCCTCTTTCAAACCCAAATCAAAGCTTCAAAGAGGAAGAATCCATACCTTTATTAACAACATCCACCCAAAAACAATCTGTAGTATCTGTTGGAACTCAAATCAAGTCTTTAGATGCAAATTTGCCAAACGTCTTATATGAAAGTGTTACTTCTACAGAAGAATCTGTAGTCTCCTCCATACCACAAACTCAAAACTATCCTCTTGCAAAACAAAATCAAAGCTTTAAAGAATCAGTGCCTTCATTTACAACAACATCAACTCCAAAACAATCCAGAATATCTGTTGGAACTCAAATCAAGACTTTAGACAGAGATATACCAATGAAAGTGTTAAATAAAAGCATTACTTCCTCCATACTATCTCAAAACCCTCCTCTTTTAAAACCAAATCAAAGCTTCACAGAAGAAGAATCAATACCTTTATTATCATCAACTCCAAAACCATCTATAAAATCTGTTGGAACTCAAATCAAGACCTTAGACACAAGTTTACCAGTTAAAGTGTTGAATAAAAGTATTATTTTACAACAATCTCAAAACTATCTCCTTTCAACACCAAATCAAAGATTAGAAGAAGAATCAATATCTGTATTAACTTCAAATCAATCCATAATAGCTGTTGAAACTCAAACAGAGTCTTTACATGCAAGTTCTCCAATGCCCACGTTTACTACTCATAAAGAAACCAATGAGATTGCTTTCTTACAACCAGACTTGGATTCTAAGGTGGGCCAAAGGAACAGATTAATCCCCGAACTTGAACTTACAACATCAGTTAACACTCCACCTGCAACTACCAGCATGATTCCCAATACAACCGAATTCATGAGAACAACACCACCATTAACTACATCTACATTATACTCTACTACTACATCTACTACTACTCCTGTTGTAAAGTTAGCACCCAGGTATCCCTTACCGGACAACCGAATCCCAATTTACTCCAAAAATCCAGGAACAAACTACATAGGGGGAAGAATTCCTAGTACTAATCATAGGTATCCATACTATCACAGTAGAAATATTAAACCCAATATTGACAGAACGCCATCTCTGACCACTTCACCTGTGGATCTAAGCATCATCAGATCAACTATAACACCTAAAACACTTACTAGATTGAGGATTTCAAGTTTCACAACTGCAAGCACCACTCAACCAAACAACCAAATTCAGATCCAGGATTCAATGAACAGACAGTTGAATTTTCCAGTCCTGCAGATGAGAGCCAGGATTACAGATGATAAACTTCACACAGTGTCTGTGAATGCTGGGACGGATGTGCAGTTACCGTGCAATTCTGTGGGGGAGCCGAGACCACTCTTAACTTGGACTAAAGTCTCAACAGGTAACTTTCTTACAGGACACATAAGACATTCATCTCATCACGTTAAAGTGGGTTCCATGTAGAAATGGCCGTATATGGCTATATATGCAAATGACATGAGACCCTGAACCACATAACCAATCAGAAGAATCAGTTTTCTGAAAAATCCTGCTTAAAGATGTCCAGATTACATTTTCACCAATGTATATTATTAATCAAATCAGTTTTTAAATATTGAGGAAATGGGAAATTATAAAGATGTAATATCTTCAGGGAATATGATCTTTACAGCATATCGGGGCATATCTTGTAGTAAGTTAGAGGGGTAAATTGCAGTTATCGAGATCCCATTGAACCATGTGAGATGTCACAACGAGATTTTGTTGGCAAGATGGTGGAAATACCAGAGAACATTTCACTAAAAGTGATGGTTGGGTTTAGGTTTGGAGAAGATGTAGACGTTAATGACTTGGTTGGGTTTAGGGTTAGGGAAGGTGTAGACCAGGGTTATTCAATTGGTGGCCCGCGGGCCCAACCCGGCCCCCGAGGCAGTTTGTTCCAGCCCTCCAAATAGTGTGACCAAGACATCAAAAATACATTTGAAATGATTATTCTTCAGACTATAATTGTCAAGCAAAATCTATAATAGTTGCATCCCTAATTGTTATGCAGTTCATAACATAACATAACATAACATATGAATGTGTGTTAATGTAGAAAAAGCCATACTTCAGCAATGCACTGCTTTTGTTGTGCTCTGAAATACAACATTTGAATGTTTGTAAAAAAAATAATAATAATATAGTCAGTTGGACAATGCAGTGATATTATGTTGTTTAAAAATACAATATATTCACATTTTAATGTAAAAAAAAGCCACATGGGAGTCTTTATGAGCACAAATACAGCATATGGGCTCTTATATGCAGTTGTGTCATCACTCATATAGCAAGTCATATCTCTCCGGCCCTTCGTTTGGGATGCTCTTCATGAACTGACCCCCATGACAAACGAATTGAATAGCCCTGGTGTAGACGTTAATAACTTGTGATGGTTGGGTTTAGGTGTAGACATTAATAACTTATGTACAATGCCATCTTGCCGACAACCTAGTTTGGGCATGTGGGTCTCCATAACTTCAAGTTACAGCTCTACTACAAGTTACGTCCTCTTCATGTTACTTCGCCGTCTTGCCGTTTAAAGACAGACCCAACTCGTTTTTATGGCTATTGCCAAATAAATACCTAAAAAACATAACGCATGTTTTCTTTTTTTTTTTTTTTCACATATATTTAACATATGTATATTCAACAAATTTGCAAAAATGGGCATGTACATTTTTTTTTTTTTCAACCATAAAAACGTGTACATGTTCAAATGTATTAGCTATATTTCTTGTGTTCATATGTGGTCATACGTTTCATAAATGTCAAATCCAATTATTAACTTGTGTCATGTTTGCTTGTATTTGTATACATCAGATTTCTGTAGGTGTGGATATTTGTAGCTTGTATGTGTCGAGACTTTCACTTACATTTTATTTTTTTTAGCCTAATGCACTACAAAAGATGCTTTTCTTACTTTTCCAAATATCTAAAAACTCCGAAATCAAGAAGCTTCTGCATTATAACCAATCAGTTTTATTAAACTGTTCAAGTCAAATAATCTGCCAAAGGGATAAGCAAAATAATTTAATGTCAAAAGGAAAAGCAAGATTATTTTTTTACCCCTTGGCAGATTATTTGGGAAACAATATACAGGAGGGGGTAAATAATTTGACTTCAACTCTATATTAATCATTTAATAGATATTTATACATTGTCCACAGGAGCCGTGATGTCAACCAACACCAAAGTCCAGCGGTTTGAGGTCCACCCCAATGGCACTTTTACCATCAGAAACGTCCATCTTCAGGACCGCGGTCAGTATCTCTGCAGCGCTAGCAATGCTCACGGCACAGATAAGATGATGGTGACGCTAGTGGTGTTGGCTCACGTTCCCAGGATGACGAGTCCACGCCATCAAGACGTAACGGTGTATATAGGAAACACTGCACTCCTGCAATGCCAAGCACAAGGACTCCCAATCCCCAACATCAGCTGGATGCTTCCGGACCGCTCAATGCTGCGAAGTGTTAGCAACACCCAACAGAAGATCATGCTATTGGCTAACGGCACGCTTCAAATCAAGCAGACTAATTATTTAGACACGGGTGTTTATAAATGCATAGCGAGCAACGCAGCTGGAGCCGACATGCTTTCTGTGAGGCTTCAGATTACAGCATTGGCTCCAGTTATTCAAGAGCAGCGCTGGGAAAACTATACGCTTTCTGATGGCCATGCTGCGCTAATTCATTGCACTGCTAACGGTGCACCAAATCCAACGGTCCGTTGGGTTACATCTTCAGGCATGCAGCTTCGGCCGTCTCAGTTTGTGAACAGCAACTTATTCGTGTTTCCCAATGGGACGCTGTTTATCCGTAACCCCACAGTGAAGGATTCTGGGATTTATGAGTGCGTGGCGGTCAGTTCAGTGGGCATGGCTAAAAGGAGCGTCAATCTGCAGGTGAAGAGGAACTCTGGCTCCGCACGCATTTTGTCCACTTCTGCACACAGCACTGACGTCCATTATGGAGATCAGCTGAGTCTCAACTGTTCGGCGTCTGGAAGTCCCACTCCCAGGATCATCTGGAGGACGCCGGCGAAAAAACTGGTTGATTCATATTACAGGTATTTGTACATTACCATGCAGAGCTGTGCTTTGCAGCTTTAATTGTTCTAAACATCGATTAGAAGATTTATCAAAATCTTCACTTACTTCTGAAGTAACTGAATTTATATTCAACAGCAGACCTTGATCTGTTTGTTTTTAAACAGTAGATGCTGCTCTAGGATAGTTACTATCTGCAGACAGTGCTTTAGACTAGTTTTAAACAGTAGACTATGATTCTTAGATGTTTTTAAAAGCAAATACCGCTCTAGGACAGTTTTTAAACAGCAGATGGTGCTCTAGGGTATTTTAAACAGTTGATGGCGCTCTAGGATAGTTTTTAAACTGCAAATGGCGCTCTAGGGGAGTTTAAACAGCAGATGGTGCTTTAGGATAGTTTTTTTTTACTGCAGATGCCGCTCTAGGGGAGTTTAAACTCCAGATGGCGCTCTAGGACAGTTTTTAAACAGCAGATGGTGCTCTAGGATAGTTTTTTTTACTGCAGATGCCGCTCTAGGGGAGTTTAAACAGCAGATGGTGCTTTAGGATGTTTTTTTACTGCAGATGCCACTCTAGGGGAGTTTAAACAGCAGATGCTGCTCTAGAGTAGTTTTTAAACCACAGGTGGCACTCTTGAATAGTTTTTAAACTGCAGATGGCATCCTAGGATAGTTTTCAATGGAAGACGGGGCTCTAGGATAGTTTTTAAAAAGTAGATGTCGCTTTAGAATAGTTTTTAAACAGTAGATGGCACTTGATAGATTTTGAACAGCACATGGCATTCTGGAATAGTTTTTAAATGGCAGATGGTACTCAAGGATAGTTTTTAAACAGTAGATGATGCTCTAAGATAGTTTTTAAACCGTAGATGGCGCTTTAGGATAGTTTTTAATCGGTAGAAGATGCTCTAGGATAGTTTTTAAACCGTAGATTGCGCTTTAGGATAATTTTTAAATAGCACATGGCATTCTGGGATAGTTTTTAAATGGCAGATGCTGCTCAAGGATAGTTTTTTAACTGCAGATAGTGCTCTAGGGAAGTGTTAAAACAGTAGATGATGCTCTGATCATTTTTAAACTGCAGAAGGCTCTCTGATAGTTCTTAAACAGGAGATGGCGCTCTATAATAGTTTTTAAACAGTAGAAGATGCTCTAGAATAGTTTTTAAACGGCTGATGTCGCTCTAGGATAGTTTTTAAACTGCAGATGGCCTTTCGAGGATAGTTTTTAAACAGCAGATGTTGCTCTTGGATAGTTTTTAAACAGTAGATGTTGCTCTAGGATAGTTTTCAAACTGCAGATGGTGCTCAAGAATAGTTTTTTAACAGCAGATAGTGCTCTAGGATAGTGTTTAAACAGTAGATGATGCTCTGTTTGTTTTTAAACTGCGGATGGTGCTCTAATAGTTTATATATATGATGTAAATAACACCTTCCTAGTCTACCAATATACACATCTGATCTATCTCTATATTGGTGATTTCAGCTTTGACCGCAGAATGAAGGTGTTGTCTAACGGCACTCTCACCATCACATCAGTGACCGAGCAGGACGAGGGCGAATATCTCTGTGCTGCCAGAAATAATGCTGGAGACGACTACGTTCTCCTCAAAGTCACCGTGATGATGAAAGCAGCTAAAATCGACCACAAATCTCTGAGCGAGCACAAGGTGTTGTACGGCGGAGAGCTGAAAGTGGACTGCATCGCTTCAGGACTTCCCAATCCGGAGGTCAGCTGGAGTCTCCCAGACGGCACCATGATCAACAGCGTCCTGTCATCTGATAAAAACACAATTAGAGCTAAGAGGTACGTGATGTTCGATAACGGCACGCTGTATTTAAACGAAGTAGGAATGAAAGAGGAAGGTGACTACACATGCTACGCCAAAAACCAAATGGGAAAGGATGAAATGAAAGTCCACATTAAGGTGTTAGCAGATGCACCCGTTATTCGAAATAATGCCTATAGTGTCATCAAAGTTACGTATGGAGAAACGGCCATCTTGAACTGCAGCGCTAAAGGAGAGCCGACTCCTGTGATCACCTGGATATCTCCGGATAAGAAGGTCATAGTGCCAATGACAAATAAATACCAGATCTCCAACGATGGCACTTTGCACATACACAAAACACAGAAGATCAACTCTGGGAATTACACCTGCATGGCCAGGAGTGTTGTGGGAATTGATAGGAAGGTGGTTTTAGTTGAAGTCCTTGTTTTTCCGCCGGTCATTAATGGATTTGAGCATCCTGGGATTATCCGTAAGACTGCTGTGAGAGATCAACGTGTGCTTTTTGATTGTAAAGCAAATGGAAACCCGTTCCCAAGAATTATATGGCTGTTTCCCAATAACGTTGTGCTTCCAGCACCATACTACGGCTCTCGAATTACAGTTCACCGTAACGGTACACTAGACATTCATGCTGTTCGCATGAGCGACTCCGTTGAGCTCATTTGCATTGCACGAAATGAATTTGGAGAAACCAAACTACATGTTAAACTAGAGGTGACGGAGGATATTATAAAGCCACAATTAAGAAATTCCCCTACAGACTCAATCCAATTGACCATTGGAAAACCAACCACTCTAAACTGTTCAATCGAAGGAAATCCTGCTCCACAAATCACCTGGACTCTCCCTAACGGGACGTCTCTTTATCAGGGAACCACTTTTTCCCGGTTTCACCATCGATCAGATGGAGCTCTGCTCATTAAGGAGCCGTCATCTTCTGATGCAGGACTTTATCGATGTGTTGGACGCAACAGCGGCGGATTTGTTGAACGAAACGTAACACTGGTGTCCAACAGAAAGCCCGAGATCACCAATCAATACAGCTCTCTCCTCAGCATCATCAATGGAGAAGATCTGCATCTGGATTGTGTATCAGATGCTCATCCTCCACCCAAACTCACATGGACGCTCCCGAGCGGAGTCGTCCTGAGCAGAGCGCAGTCATCCGGGCGTCATTCAGTGCTGAACAACGGCACTCTGAGCATCCACAGGACATCAGTGTACGATAGAGGAACATACCGCTGCCAGATCTCCAATGATCACGGCTCCTCCAGTTTATCAGTGTCTGTCATCGTAATCGCGTATCCTCCTCGTATAACCAGCGGGCCGGCGGCGGTTACGTATGGGCGTGTGGGTGTAGCGCTCACGCTGGATTGCAGGTCTTTAGCTTCACCGCGGGCAGAGGTGGTCTGGCAGATGCCCGACGGGCTGCAGCTGAAGGTGGATGTCCAGCCTCGGCTCTATGGGAATAAACATCTGCATCCGCAGGGGGTGCTGCAGATCCACAGCCCGTCCAGCAGAGACAGCGGCGTTTATAAGTGCACCGCCAAAAACGTGCTGGGCAGCGACAGCCGATCCACTTATGTTTATGTGTTCTGATGCAAACAGACATAGACACGACCAGAAAACTGAGATACAGACACGCCCAGAAAAACTGAGATACAGACACGCCCAGACAACTGAGATACAGACACGCCCAGACAACTGAGATACAGACACGCCCAGACAACTGAGATACAGACACGCCCAGAAAACTGAGATACAGACACGCCCAGAAAACTGATATACAGACATGCCCAGAAAACTGAGATACAGACACGCCCAGAAAAACTGATATACAGACACGCCCAGACAACTGAGATACAGACACGCCCAGAAAACTGATATACAGACATGCCCAGAAAACTGAGATACAGACACGCCCAGAAAAACTGATATACAGACACGCCCAGACAACTGAGATACAGACACGCCCAGAAAACTGAGATACAGACACGCCCAGAAAACTGAGATACAGACACGCCCAGAAAACTGAGATACAGACACGCCCAGAAAACTGAGATACAGACACGCCCAGACAACTGAGATACAGACACGCCCAGAAAACTGAGATACAGACATGCCCAGAAAACTGAGATACAGACACGCCCAGAAAAACTGAGATACAGACACGCCCAGAAAACTGAGATACAGACACGCTCAGAAAACTGAGATACAGACACGCCCAGAAAACTGAGATACAGACACGCTCAGAAAACTGAGATACAGACACGCCCAGAAAAACTGAGATACAGACACGCCCAGACAACTGATATACAGACACGCCCAGAAAACTGATATACAGACACGCCCAGACAACTGAGATACAGACACGCCCAGACAACTGATATACAGACACGCCCAGAAAACTGAGATACAGACACGCCCAGAAAACTGAGATACAGACATGCTCAGAAAACTGAGATACAGACACGCCCAGAAAAACTGAGATACAGACACGCCCAGAAAACTGAGATACAGACATGCTCAGAAAACTGAGATACAGACACGCCCAGAAAACTGAGATACAGACACGCCCAGAAAAACTGAGATACAGACACGCCCAGAAAACTGAGATACAGACACGCCCAGAAAACTGAGATACAGACACGCCCAGAAAACTGATATACAGACATGCCCAGAAAACTGAGATACAGACACGCCCAGAAAACTGATATACAGACATGCCCAGAAAACTGAGATACAGACACGCCCAGACAACTGAGATACAGACACGCCCAGACAACTGAGATACAGACACGCCCAGACAACTGAGATACAGACACGCCCAGACAACTGAGATACAGACACGCCCAGAAAAACTGATATACAGACATGCCCAGAAAAACTGAGATACAGACACGCCCAGAAAAACTGAGATACAGACACGCCCAGAAAAACTGAGATACAGACACGACCAGAAAACTGAGATACAGACACGCCCAGAAAACTGAGATACAGACACGCCCAGACAACTGAGATACAGACACGCCCAGACAACTGAGATACAGACACGCCCAGAAAACTGAGATACAGACACGCCCAGACAACTGAGATACAGACACGCCCAGAAAAACTGATATACAGACACGCCCAGAAAACTGATATACAGACACCCCCAGACAACTGAGATACAGACACGCCCAGAAAAACTGATATACAGACATGCCCAGAAAAACTGAGATACAGACACGCCCAGAAAACTGAGATACAGACACGCCCAGAAAACTGAGATACAGACACGCCCAGAAAAACTGATATACAGACACGCCCAGAAAACTGATATACAGACACCCCCAGACAACTGAGATACAGACACGCCCAGAAAAACTGATATACAGACACGACCAGACAACTGAGATACAGACACGACCAGAAAACTGAGATACAGACACGCCCAGAAAACTGAGATACAGACACGACCAGAAAACTGAGATACAGACACGCCCAGAAAACTGATATACAGACACCCCCAGAAAACTGAGATACAGACACGCCCAGAAAACTGATATACAGACACCCCCAGACAACTGAGATACAGACACGCCCAGACAACTGAGATACAGACACGCCCAGAAAACTGATATACAGACACGCCCAGAAAAACTGATATACAGACATGCCCAGAAAAACTGAGATACAGACACGCCCAGAAAACTGAGATACAGACACGACCAGACAACTGAGATACAGACACGCCCAGACAACTGAGATACAGACACGCCCAGAAAACTGATATACAGACACGCCCAGACAACTGAGATACAGACACGCCCAGAAAACTGATATACAGACACGCCCAGACAACTGAGATACAGACACGCCCAGAAAACTGATCTACAGACATGCCCAGAAAAACTGAGATATAGACACGCCCAGACAACTGAGATACAGACACGCCCAGAAAACTGAGATACAGACACGCCCAGACAACTGAGATACAGACACGCCCAGAAAACTGAGATACAGACACGCCCAGACAACTGAGATACAGACACGCCCAGACAACTGAGATACAGACACGCCCAGAAAACTGAGATACAGACACGCCCAGAAAACTGAGATACAGACACGCCCAGAAAACTGAGATACAGACACACCCAGAAAACTGAGATACAGACACGCCCAGACAACTGAGATACAGACACGCCCAGACAACTGAGATACAGACACGCCCAGACAACTGAGATACAGACACGCCCAGACAACTGAGATACAGACACGCCCAGAAAACTGAGATACAGACACGCCCAGAAAACTGAGATACAGACACGCCCAGAAAACTGAGATACAGACACGCCCAGAAAAAACTGAGATACAGACACGCCCAGACAACTGAGATACAGACACGCCCAGACAACTGAGATACAGACACGCCCAGAAAACTGAGATACAGACACGCCCAGACAACTGAGATACAGACATGCCCAGACAACTGAGATACAGACACGCCCAGAAAACTGAGATACAGACACGCCCAGAAAAACTGAGATACAGACACGCCCAGACAACTGAGATACAGACACGCCCAGAAAACTGAGATACAGACACGCCCAGACAACTGAGATACAGACACGCCCAGACAACTGAGATACAGACACGCCCAGACAACTGAGATACAGACACGCCCAGAAAACTGAGATACAGACACGCCCAGAAAACTGAGATACAGACACGCCCAGAAAAACTGAGATACAGACACGCCCAGACAACTGAGATACAGACACGCCCAGACAACTGAGATACAGACACGCCCAGAAAACTGAGATACAGACACGCCCAGACAACTGAGATACAGACATGCCCAGACAACTGAGATACAGACACGCCCAGAAAACTGAGATACAGACACGCCCAGAAAAACTGAGATACAGACACGCCCAGACAACTGAGATACAGACACGCCCAGAAAACTGAGATACAGACACGCCCAGACAACTGAGATACAGACACGCCCAGAAAACTGAGATACAGACACGCCCAGACAACTGAGATACAGACACGCCCAGAAAACTGAGATACAGACACGCCCAGAAAACTGAGATACAGACACGCCCAGAAAACTGAGATACAGACACGCCCAGAAAACTGAGATACAGACACGCCCAGAAAAACTGAGATACAGACACGCCCAGACAACTGAGATACAGACACGCCCAGACAACTGAGATACAGACACGCCCAGAAAACTGAGATACAGACACGCCCAGAAAACTGCATCACACTGTCAAATTTATACTGCAGCTGAAGTCAAAATGTAAAGTTTTTTTTTGTTGTTGTTTTATATATATATATATATATTTCCCAAGTGGTGTTTAGCAGAGACATTCAAAACATTTTTAAAATATAATTGTTTTAGTAACTGATTTCTTTTATTTTCTCCATGATGACAGCACATAATATTAGACTAGATATTCTTCAAGACACTAGTGTTCAGCTTAAAGTGACATCTAAAGGCTTCACTAGGGTAATTAGGGTAAAGTTAGGGTAATTAGGCAAGTCATTGTATAACAGTGGTTTGTTCTGGAGACAATCCAACACTAATATTGCTGAAGGGGCCAATAATATTGACCTTAAAATGGGTTTAAAACTATTAAAAACTGCTTTTATTCTAGCCCAAATAAAACAAATAAGACTTTCTCCAGAAGAACAAACATTAGAGGAAACACTGTGAACAACTCCTGAATCTGTTCAACATCATTTGGGAAATATAGGAAAAAGAAAAATATTTTCACAGTATAGGGCAAATCAATCTACCTTCATCTGAATATGACAGAGATATTCTGGTTCATTATAAACACTGACTGTGCTGTAAATATGAACGCTTGATATTCTTAAATCACTTCAGATGAGTCTTCATGAGCTAAAATGAAGAATATATGAGTTTGTCAATTTAGTTTAATTATCTAAACATCTCTATAATGAGAGGGTCTTGTATGTGGTAAATAATGTGGCATCAAATTATTAAAACAATAAATGACACTATATAAAGTGCAGTAAAAAATGTTTTTTATAAAACTGTTCACTTAAGGCAAGGCAAGTTTATTTATATAGCACATTTCATACACAGTGGCAATTCAAAGTGCTTTACATAAACAGGAATAAAAAAGACAAGTTTAGGAACAGAAAATGCAGACAATAAAAATTATTAAAAACAGATAAAAACAAATTAAAATGAGTAAAAATAGGTTATAAAAGAATGAAAAAGAAAATGAAAAACATAATTAGGCATTATGCATTACTTAATGCATCTTCTCTCTACATGAATGTGTGTGTATATATATTTTTTTTTGTAAAACAAAATTTGAATCATTAATAATACACTCATTATTAATTAATAAAACACTCAGTACTTTCAATGGATATTCATTTATGAACTTAATGATTTGCACCTCTAGAATTGTCACAAAATTCAGTATTTCAACATATCCGCTTATTTACTTTCAGTGAAAAGCCCTGATGAAGATCATTTTAAAACATTTTTATTTTACAGTTTTATTGTTGGTTATTATTTATAACAATAATATACTCTATTTTTTCAGCACTGAAACGCAGATTTAAAACCGCTATTTTAACCTGATTTAGCCAACACTGATGAAGTTTTGATTGTTTTAGGTATTTTTGACTAAAACCTCTTCCTTTAGATCTCGCCACATTTTTCAGTTTGTTAATAACAGTATAGTAACATTATTTATAACATTTCAGTTTTACCAAATAGTCTCTCATTATAAAGTGCAATTGATTTTTGTATTTATTTATTTTATGCCCCACATTATATTTCTTACAATAAATATATAATGAACTTAATTTTATATACAGTAGCACCTCAAAGTGCTTTACGTGTGTGTGTGTGTGTGTGTGTGTGTGTGTGTGTGTGTATGTGTATATATATATATATATATATATATATATATATGAGCAATATCACTCTCGTAGCAGAGCAAATGGCTGTATATCCACAATGGTGGGAGGCATGCAT